TGGGTCAAGTTATTTAATAGCTTTAGTTTTCTCATATGAAAATAATGATAAAAATGCCACGCCTTTGATCCCAGCACTCAGGAAGCAGAGGCAGGCAGATCTCTGTGAGATAGAGTTCAGCCTAGTCTACATAGTGATTTCCAGCTGGGACTGTCTAAAAAAGAGACTAGCTGGGGCTATCTAAAAAAGAAAAGAATGATAAAATCTTTCTTACAGGGTTCTTGAAGAACTAGTGCATTTTAAACCCTTCACCACAAGACCTGGCATTTAAGCACAGTGTTACTTTTATTATAAAATGCCGTCTGATCCTGAAGTGGGGGCAATAGTACCAAGAGTGGACAGCCAGGCCCAGGGCTGCCCGGTTGTTTTTCTCTTGTATTTGCTGCATCTCAAATGTGGCTCCTGTCTCAATATTGTCTATTCTGGAACCAAATGTTACCAAAATAAAAACAGACTCCAAGTTCTCTAATTCTCTGACATTACAGAAAATAGGCATTTTCATTAGACTAGCATCCCACGTACAGTTTTAACATGGGCAATCTTAAGGGATGTTGAAGGGGGCAAGTTAAAATTAAACATTCTAACACAACCCAAAGATATTAATTTGATATTTTCATACTGAGGAATTACATTAGGAAAATATTAAATCTTTGTTTCCCAGAAGTAAACCATTGCTTCTGTAAGAGTAGAAAGCTGTATGTTCAACAAAAGCTTTGCTAATCAGAACACACAAGTCTCATATCTCAGCAAAGGGGTCTCTGGTAGTGGTTGTTCAAGTTGGGGTGGTGAGAGGCCTTCCAAGGTCAAGTTAAATGAATTTTGGCTTGGGATTAAGATCATGATTTACAATTGTGGAAACGGCCCTAAGGACACTTCTGCCATTTTGCACTATATATTTGAGAAGTGATAGTCTCAGAATTGATTATATAACCAAAATATCGATCCACACTGAAAAACATTGAAGATTAGGTTTTGCAGTATCAATCAAGTCTTCAGTCAAGATTTATTCTTTATGTAAAAATAAATATATCCACTCATTAATCAGCAAATTTGCTTTCATTTTTAATAAATGGTAAAATACTTTTTATTAATAAATGTTTAATTTATATACTAATTTTATATCTGTATAGATCTACAGTCATGTAAAAAGTAGTGGAAAAGATTTAAGAAGCTCTGTTTCAGAGCACACAAACTGATTCACAACACAAAAGTTAAAACAGTGATATCAATACCAAGAAAAGTTTTATTGAAGTTTTTTTTTTTTTTTTTTTTAGCCTAATCTGAAATACTAGCTTATTTATTTTTGAGACAAGGTCTGGCTGTTGGAATTCATCATCTTCCTGCCTCAGCCTCTGAGTGCTGGGTTACAGGCAGAAGCGTGCCACCCCGCCTGGCTACTTTTACAGAAGACTTTTAGCTCTTCACATCAGGTATTTCACATTGCTGAAGAACTGATTGAGTGAAAAATGCCTGTCAACAAAATTGTAGGCCAATTAAAATAAAATGTTACAAGTATTTTCAATTCTTACCATGAAATAAAAACTTTGCAGAGTTTTTACCATAGGTCAGACAGATGCAAAGGAAAAGTAAAGACCACTGAGGAAAATTCAAAGATGCCCGTGTTAGGCAGCATAGACCTGGAGGCAGACACACTGGTCTATTGGCCTGAATGAACTGTAGCTTAGTAATTCTTACACTAAGAGAATCCTGAACCTTTTAGTAAATTCAATCAGAACACCCTACTGATATTTTAAGTCACAGCTTTAAAGGGCTGATTTGGGAAGACAAACCGAAACCTGACTGGAGCAGGGAAGAAGCACTCCAGATGTTCTAAATGCTTCAAACTGAACTTACTCTTTCTACTTCCATGTCAGCTGCTTCTTCTGTTTCCTACTTGATTTGTTCCATCACCTCCCTGACACTCAAGAAATCTGAAATTTATCTTCAGACTTAAAACAACTCTGAACAACCATCTTCAGCCAAGTTACTTTGAGTCTTCTCTTAACACTTCCTAGCGATCTCTTCCTTCCCCCTATAGCCGTATTGTGTTGCTGCTGCTTATTAGATCTTTTTCTAGTACACATTCTTTTAAGCAGTCTTTCTGCCTTAGTCTTGCTTACTCCTTGATGTGGCTGAACAACAATTATTTGTGAAACAGATTATGTGTGAACAATGATTATCAGTTCAGTTCATCACACCTTCCACCTCATTTCTCATTATAGTAAACCCAAACTCCTCTGTGTGTGACATGGGGGCTGTTTAGCGTACCTGCCCTCTAGCCTTCCCACATTCTCCAAGCTTCTCATCATTTAAGATTAATATGCTATTTTAAGCATTTCTGTCATATGTTCCTTGCTTAATATTAATGGATAGCAGCTGAAATGACTGATTTCCAAAGACTTGTTCAATTTTTAGAAAAGCTAACAATTATTAGAATTTTTAAATTTCATTTCCTTACTATTATTTTGATATTTGTCCCCATGATCTCGCAGGAAATAACTTTTGATATTAATGTGACATTATAAA